CTCTCTCTCTCTCTCTCTCTCTCTCTCTCTCTCTCTCTCTCTCTCTCTCTCTCTCTCTCTCTCTCTCTCTCTCTCTCTCGTGCTAGCAACCTTCGACAAGACTCGCTCGCAGGTGTCACGGCGTCTCCTCGCAATGATCCCGACTCGCGCAGCTGCAAGGGCAACTGCAGGCTTGCCATCATCCACCCTTGCCATCAGCTCATTCGCCTTGGCGCAATCCCCACCAATCAACAAAGTCATCTTCAGGTCCGAGCCCAAAAGTGTCGAGCCCTCGCCGCCATCGACGCTGCTGGACAGACGATCGATCAGCATGTCTGCATTCTCTGATCCCTCCTTTGATTTCAGGCGATACTTTGAAGCCAGACCGCGTCACTCTAGCGAGATATACTCTCGCGTGTTGCAGTACCACCAAGGCGCACACGGCACTCTGCTCGACCTCGGTTGCGGACCTGGCATTTCCTTCTTCCCTCTTGCGGGTCACTTTGAGCGCAGCATAGGCACCGATCCATCGCAAGGCATGTTGGATCAAGGTCCAGCGGCATGGGAGCAGTACAAGTCCAGCAATCCCAGCCAAGCCAGCAGCCTCTCATCGGCCAAGGTTCAATTTGTGCAGTCATCCGCCGAAGATCTCGGCATGTTGCCCGACCAGAGCGTGGATCTCATCACCGCGGCCACCGCAGCCCATTGGTTCGCATATCCTCAAATATGGAAGGAATTGGGTCGAGTACTCAAGCCCAACGGCACCGTCGCTTTTTGGACGTACGGCACCAATTATCTGCCTCAGCATCCCGATCTGTGGCCCATGATGAAGGAGTTCATGAGCTCCTATGCAGACTTTCTCGGTCCCTACTGGCCCCAGCCTGGCAGGCGTCTGCTGGAAAACCTTTACGTGGATATGTGAGTCGTCGAATAAAAAGCGGCAAATGCAAAAGTGCCTGATGGCTCGCTCAGTGCTCATCTTTTTTCGAGCTCGGCTTGCTCTCAGACCTTTTCCGGAGGATGAGAGCGTGTGGGATACGAGCAGTGCTGAACGTCGTATGCACAGCCTATCCGCGCCAGGCGTGCCTCAGATCCGATCTCCCGAGCTAGATTTCAGCATGAGCGTGCGTTCATCTTGCCCTCTCTTCCTCTGCCTGCTACGCGACCGTTGAAGCTCACGCACATTCTACCTGACCTGATCTGGACGGCCACGGCCACGGCCACGGCCATGGCACTCACTTAGCAACCCATGTCATTCTCCTCTCTCAACTCTTACTTTCACACATCCAGCGCCAGCTCGCGCTACAAGGCTCAGCATCCCTCTTCGTCCGTGGCCGGACAAGACGAAGCAGCAGCAGCAGACATGATCGACTTGCACGTGCAAAAGTTGCGCGAGGCGGTCCTGCGACAAAGAGCACAAGGCATGGGAACGCAAGAAGGATTGGACGACGATCATGTTCGCGTCGCTTGGCCTTTGGGACTCATGATGATCCGCAAGCTCAAGCAGTCTTGATCCCAACCTCGCGCCGTCATTCTGGACCCCCGCTCGCTCGCTCGCTCGCTCGCTTTCAAAAGGGACAGCCCTTTTCGTGTCCCCTCGCAGGCACGAGACACGCCGCGCGCCCCCCATCTTGATGAGGTACTGGGATGGTGAGAAGTATCAAGCATGCCTTGTGTCTGCCCACACCCTATTCCTCGCCATCCCACCGCCCCACACTGTCTCGCACTCGCCCCAAAAGCGCTTCGGAACATCCTCACCTCTGCTTACTCCCCACCCCTCCGCGTTCGGCTTTCATTGGCCTCGAGTCGTGCAAGTCTGAATTCGAGCGTGTGCGTGCTAATCGCGCTGATCATGCGCGTGCCCTTCTCACAATTTGTGAGTGTGGGCAGCCTGCAGGCATTAGCCAACCGTGGTTCTGAGGCGTGGCCATCTCCATGGCACTTGACCGTGCATCCACACAAATTTGCAAGTCGTGATCGCATCGCATCAAACGCCGCGTCCTCGCAACGCTCGCGCTAGGTCACCGCCCGATGTTCCACCCAACCACGCTCGAAATGCCACCACAAGTGGCGAGTGTGCATTCCGATTCATGTTCCTCCACAACCCAAGCTTTTGTCGAATATCCTAGAATGCGATGCTTGTTCATTGCTGCTCTGCTTGCCGATTGGTCGCGTACTACATTGAGACGAGCATACTTTTCTGAAGCTAGAAAAAGGGAAGCGAGGTCACGACTTTCGTCCTGTATAATCTTGAATGTCACACCTCGGAGCATGCGCAAGCGATGACGCATCCATCGCGGAAAGCGCGTCTTTGAAAGAAGGAGCTCGCGTGTATGAATTGACTCCTCCTCTACATGTCCTGCTAGGCGCTGCAGCGATGTTGTACCCTTCGTCTCTCATCTCGTCTAATTGTTCTGCAAACACATCATTCGTACCAAGCGTGTCTGTATCAGCACTCAGCGCCTCGAAAGTCGGCCCCTCGCAGAGATGGACTCACCGCCGGCGGCACTGCTCCTTCTGCCTGAGCATTGGCATCATCAATGTTGTGGAAATCTGAAAGCGGTGGCACTTGAGCACGGCAAGTCTCACCGGTAGGAAGAGAATCGATCTCGAGGGACTTACCAAGAATCTCGCTGTACATCATCACCTTCCACGTGTCCACAGGCAGATCAGCATCGTTGAATGACCAATCGAAGGCCTCTTCGGCCTCTGGCTCGTCTGATGGGTCGTGATAAGGCGCGAGATAGGGATGGCTCAAAGCTTCGGCCGCAGTGATGCGAGTTCGGGGATCGAAGACCAGCATCTTTTCCAACAAGTCCAGCGCGACCGGATCTTGGTTCCTGAACTTTTGTGAAAAGGGAATTCTTTCCCTCTTTGGCAAGGATTGCACGAATCGCAACGTCTGTGAAAATGACATACGCGGCATCAGAACAGAATGAGGTCTGCCAGGCGACCGCGAGAACTCACATTTTCGCTGCAGATCGTCTTGATGACCTCGTCGGGTGGAGTGCCGAGCAGCTCGGTGATGATGGAGAATTGGTTGACATCTGACGAGGTGGGTGTGTGAGCTGGAGGCTTGCCGGCATCTTGCTCGCTCGTGTGCTCTGTACTCACGATCCTTTCCTGGAAAGAGTGGCTTGCCTTCCAGCATTTCTGCAAAGATGCATCCCGCGCTCCAGACGTCGACTGCGTGGCATACAATGCAGTCAGTAACGCGCACCTGCCAAGCTGCAAGACTCTGAGGGCCGGCTCTGAGCCTCATCGCGGCTGCGCGGGTCCCCAATCTTGCGATGGAGAGAGAAGTAATGGAAAGAGAAGTAGAGCCAGACTCACCGGCGACATCGTACTTTTGCCACGTCAACATGATTTCAGGAGCTCTGTAGTACCTCGTGCTGACATAGCCAGTCATCTGAGGGTCCTGAATTCTAGCCAATCCAAAGTCGCAAATCTTCAAGTCGCAATTCTCGTTCACCAAGATGTTCGAGGGTTTCTACGTCATGCGGGTTGGAGATCGATCAGCATGCAGCACAACAAAGAGCAAGGACACTCTGTGTGGTGGCAATAATGATCGTCTTGCTCCGACGCCAGGTGTCCCACCCTCCACATTCCCCCCCTCGCACGTAGCGACTTGGCCATGGTGGAGAAGGGGCCAGTTCCGCGTTGCCCACTCCGGAGCAACCGGATCATGGCAGCCGACTGGCCCGCGTTTGCCCTTGTGATATCAGCTTCACCGAAACTCACCAAGTCTCGGTGCACCACGCCTGCCGAGTGCACGTATTTCAACCCTCTCAAAATCTGATACAAGAAGTACTGAATGAACTGCTTCTCCAATGGTCTACTTGTAAGCAATCTATGCAAGTCTGTGCCCAACAATTCAGTAACGAAGTAGCTGTGGCGAAGCGAGCCGAGAGAAATCGGATTCAGCGACCGAGGAGTGGCGTCAAGCAAGAAATTCAAGCACTCACATGTCTTCGAGCGGGGAAATGAAGATGTCGGACAGGGAGATGATCTGTTAAAGCATTGGGCGACGTCAGCAAACATCTCCTTCTCGCAGGCACGGACTGCATAATCTCCCAGTGAGACGAACCCTCCGCATACATGCCGCCCTCCGCGTGTATTTCGCGTCCCAAGCATGATATGGACCATAGATACGCGTGGACTCGATTTGCCGGATGCCAAGCTGACAAGGCCATGTTTCTTGCCCTCGCCCTGGCACCTTCATCGCCACATGCGGCACCTGGATCGAAAACTCACATTCTCGTGCCTGATGTGTTTCAGCAGCTTCAGCTCTCTGTACGTCCTCTTCGACAGCACAGGAGTCGAGAATGGTTTCATGATCTTCTTGATGGCTACGCTGGTGCTGGTCAGCTGATCCTTTGCAGAGCATACCAAGCCAAAAGCTCCCATGCCGACTGGCTGCAAGTCCACATATCGCGTGGTCACCTCGAACACGGTTCCGAAGATGCTGAGCTTGACGAAGTCCGCCATCTTGGGCTGATGCTACGCGGTGGAGCTGAACAAGTGTCGTGTCCAGTGGGTGGCGAAGAGGCAATTGATATGGCGGGAGCCGCAAGCTGCAGCTGATGTATACTCGGTCGCACTTTTAAAAGCTGTCACGGTGTGGACAAGCTACCAGAGCGGAGCGCGTAAAGATCAAAGTGCGATGATGCCGACGATGCAACGCAATCCTAGCTGCTCTTCGTTGCTCTTGCTGAAGTGTTGCAAGCTTTGGGATCCAAACAGATCACAAACACACGCCAAGGTCAAAGATAGCAGCGGGTCGAGCCCAAGATGTTGGGAATGACCAAAGTGGAAAAGGGGGGTGCTGGAGAGACAGGAGCGACTGGGAAGATGGGTGGGTGACGTGAGATGTCGAAGTTGGGAGAGTGGGAGAGGGTAGTGCACACGAAGGGTGAAAAGGGTCGGGTCGGGCGAAGGTGTGGCTTTCGAGGCATTGCGGGTTCGGCCATGTCCCTTGATCCCTGTGCCTACAGCAGCACTCAGGCGAACCAAGCGAGGCGAAGAGGCTCAGCGCGGGCGCCATGCACGCAGCGTCGCGTGGCGGATACTGTTGCGCGGTGATGATGCGTGCGAGCTAGAGCGCAGGGTCTATGTGCTTTATGCGCGAGAGCGTACGATTTGCAGGCCTGCGTGCATGGCATGCATGACGCGCACCGGCACGCACGCACGCGCAAGCTGCCTCTGCTGCTGCTGCTTGTTTGGCCTGCGAGCGAGCGCGAAGAGCTGCAGCAGCTGCTCGCTGAGAGAGTCGCCACCCAAAGCTTGATGAGGACGCACCGCTTGAACTCGCGACGGCTACAAACATTCACCATTCGAACAGACTCGTGAATGCCTGCTTTCAATCGGAACTCTGTGATTATTATTGCCTTGGATTTATAACCGTTTGCCCCGGCACAATGTGGATTGAGCACGCGTCTGCCAGCACACGTCAGCAGCATGCAAGCTTGATGCGCACAAAACAAGCAATCACAGCGGCCCGGCAAGCACCTCGACAACTAAAAAGAGCACGACTCGGGAGTAGGAGTCACTCATCAGTGTACATCTGCATGGCGAGGCCCAACTTCTTACGAAGCTATATAGCCTGCATGTTCAAGCAAGCACGGTCCACGTCAAGCAGCAGCCCCCAGCGGCAGACTGGCTCGCTCCATTTGAATGTCTCTTCAAGCTGTCTACATAGGCGCTGCCACAATTTGACCGTGAGCCTGTCCGCGACAGCACTTCAGGCACTGAAGCACAGTGACGCATGCTTAGCTTTACCCTGCACATGATGCGGCTCTCGGGGCCCGGGCCGTCGCACCAGCATTGTGGACTCTAGCTGCTGCCTTTATCCATCGGCAGCAAAATCCGGTCCTGCGCTACAGGACTCACACTTGCAAATTCAAAGGCGTCGAGATCTACACGCCGGCCGGTGCAGTCGGGCACTGGCCCGCTTCCGCAAATCGTGGGGAAGTGGTGGAACTAAGATGCGTACATAGATGACCAGCGTGTGGCTTGAGTGCGTCAAGAACCGAATCCCTCGATCAACGGTCTTGGCCTTATTGCTGTACCGGGAAACGATTGATGAGAGGAAATTGATTGTGGATTACATCAACGGCTTTCGAAGTGACGATCAGGCGGTGCCGTTGCGGCCCCGCCGTTGTGCCAACTGACTTCCAGCGATCGCCAAGATCGGGAGTTGCAACGACTCTCTGTGCGTGCGGCAGGCATTTTATTCCTTGTCACGAGCGTACGATTCAAATTGTGAGTGTAGGTACAGCAATCAAATCCCGAAAGTCAAGACTGCCTGCTCCTTTCGTTCTCCGAACCGAGGCAATGCATGGTAGATGGTGCTTGTCGCAGGTCCCCTTCGTGGTGCGGAATGCGGTTGCATCAAGATTGTACAAAACAACGAGCGCAGCGCTCTGGGCAAAAGTGGTGGAAGAGTTTAGATTATTGTTGATTGGCACAATCTGTTGCTGCTGTGAAAGCGGACCACGAATTCCGTCAGACCACCGTGTGCAGTCGCGAGCACACACGAATCATCATCAATCGTCTTGAATTGCGAAGGCATCACAAAGCTGGAGCGAGCTGCAACTTGCTGATCCGAAATTATGCGGCATCTGAAAGCCTGTCAGACTTTTGACTCTTATCATCGTGTGGCTGACCTTACGTAGTTTCGTATTGCTGGCGCGCCGTCACTCGCGACTTGAGTAATCGTCGATCAGAATGTGGATTTAAATCGTGAATTTGAATTAAGAATGAAGAATGTGGCTCTCGACTGTAACTCTTGACTCTTGACTGCACGTTGACTGTGACTCTTGAAGTGCTGTCTTTTGACCAGATTTTCAATCAAGCCGCTGAACGCATCGCACCACGAACGCTTGCAACAAATCGAATTTCTCGGCGGCTCGATCGTGACACAAACTCATGACTGCTGGTGACAGAATCTTGAATTTCTGAATCAGACATCAGGTACATCACAACTCAAGCTTCAACAATTTGATTGATGAGTGAGGTCACGCAGCTACGTACACTTGACATATGCTTGAGTAATCGCGATTGTGATTCGTGATTTTGATTCAAATCGAGATTACTCAAGCATGATTCAAGATTGCGAGCGCGCGCGCCGCGCACCGCACCGCACCGCACCGCACGTGACTACTACACTATTTAGCCCTCGGCACAGGCCTCCTAGCTGCTGCTGGCGAGTGCAACCCCGCGCGCTCAAGAGGCACAAATATGTATACATGCATGCATGGTCGACCCCTGAGCAAGACGTGCCCTCACGAGACACGCGCGCAGCACAAATTAGCCTCACAAGTCTGTCAGACACCGCTCAAGACGCCGTGAGCGTAGTTGCCAGGTCCAGACGAGCTGGGGACGGCTTGGCTGGCTGGATGATGCGGGACTCTGTGTCCGAGCCGCCTGCATGGTACAGTATAGTCTTGAGTCACACTCGTCCCTCTTGCAACTTGTCGAATCCTGTATGCGATGCTTTTTGACCACCACCACTACCCCCACTTTGCCTACCTTGACGAACCCCCACCTCATTGACGAACACCTTTGACGACTTTCACGACAATTTTTGGATAACGACAGACAGAGAGGCCCCAATCAACGCGCGCCTTTTTATTGCTACTTGCCATATATACTCTTGCAATCAGCAAGTCGCTCGCGCGCACCCCCCAAACATCAACATCACACCTCTTGATACTAGCAACCATGGGCATTGTCTGCAGCTGCTTCTCCACCGTCTTTCTTTGGACTGGCGAGCTCCTCGAGAGTGAGTGATGGGGCGTGCTAGGGAGGTAGCTGAGCGGAATGTAGCGAAACAGCATGACACTAGTCCCTTTCAACAATCTTTTGACACACACACACACACGTCTCTCTGCTGCTGCTCCCCATTTTCTGTGCCCAGACCTCGCCCTGGCGATCGGTGAAATCTCTTCCATTCTCATCCGGGGCATCTTTTCGCTCCTGATTGGGCTGTGCGATGTGCTAGCAGCCATTTCATGCTGCTGCCGTGTGCCCTACAGCGAACGACCAGGTCGAAGTGGCTACACGTACGACACCGTCCTGCTAGCCGACAGTCCACCTTTTCTTCGAGGTGCACCAGCAGCAGTGTCGGTACCAGCAGCATCCAGCGGTACTGGGGTGCTCAGGAGCGTCTTTACCAAGCAGGGCAGACAACACAGAAAGGATGCACGCGCTGCCAAAGCTCAGAACGAGGCGGCTAGGAAGAAGGAAGCTGCCATCAAGAAGGAAGCGCAGGACGCTGAGAAGGCCGCCGCGAAGCAGAAGGCTGCTGCAGATGCCAAAGCTGCCGAGGTCAAGGAGCAGGTGGAGGAAAAATCACAGAAATGAGACCAAGCGTCCTGACTCCTTTGGACAACGAATTCGCGAGCGATCTCCATCCTTCGCCGTGCGAAATTGATCCTCTCCCCTTTGCTTCACTGGACCGCTAAGCCTGATCACTTGGCTCAACTGTAAACAGTAATGACTTTCCGCTATTCCTCGAATCGTATCGCTCGCCAGATTCAAGTCTGATCGCAATCGCTGGCATTGCACGCAACGTGTTCAAGCTTTAGGCATCGTGATTGCGTGCCGTATTGGGATTGACGGTGAAGGGGCGTTTGAGCATGTCGCGCTAAAGCAAGAGATTGCTTAGTTCTGCTTGTCCTGAGCTCCCATGCCGTCCTTGATGGGGAAGTCAGAACCTGATGTGTAACGCATGTGGGAAAGCAGATGGTCAGCGAACGGGTGTTTTGGGTGCACGGCATAACGGAAAGAAAGGACGTACCAGTAGCACTATGCGGGCGAGAATCGTGACAAGAGGGCCGGGATGATGTGCGACGGGTGAAAGAGACCAAGAACGTGTCAGTGCATCGGTTCAGCAATGCCAAGCACTCTAGCATATGATCCGCTGTGCATCTCGCATCGTAGGAGTCGTGCCCTCTTTCCCTCCTCTACTAACGTCTTGTAGCGATCACGAATCTGATCAGCGATAAAGTTGTCCTTTTGCTGATCAATAGCAGTCTCATTGTCCTGCTTTCCCTCGTTCAAAAATCGTTCTTGCACAATGTCGATACCCTTGTCCAGATAGTCCTCGCGGCGCTCTCCCTCGGCACCTCCACCACCGGCTGTGCAAAGTGTTCATGAGCGACAAGTGTGAGATTGGGGTGCTTGGATCGAAGAGAAGAAGGCGATGCGATGCGATGCGAGAGACGAAGAAGAAGCATGCTATGCTCACCATTGTTGATGGCATCGCCAAGACCGCTCTTGTCGTTCTTGAGAAAGTCACTGGCCTTTTTGTTCGATAGCAGAGCGGGTAAGGAAACATCAGCGACACACACTGTACACCGCATCGACAGCGACTGCGCGCTGCAGATCGGCTCTCACGTACCTTGTTGAATACGCCGTCCATGATGACTAACTATCTTTGTGTGCGTGTGTGCGAGCTAATTGTCAATGCTCTGACGATTCGTTGTGATGGTGCTTCGCCGTGGAGCACTTGGATGATGTTGTGGTGGGAGGTGAAGGGTGTTTTGGGAGCTTAGCGCGGCTATAAATACTACATCCTATCGCAATCGAAGGCAATGATTCTTGAGTGCAAGGAAGTGCGCACTTCCACTCCACGCTCGGTCAGCTGCGCTGCAGCGGATGATCCATGGAAGGCTCGCAACCCGCAGGCTCACGCCTTTAGCTACAGCCGTGACTTGCCCAAGCATCGACCGGCAGACGGCGCAGTCACAGTCACACAGTCCATCAGAATATCCTTCCTAGCTACCCGCAATCGACTCGCACCTCCACCTCTGCTGCCCAGTGCACTCAGACTGGTGACTGCATGTACTGTAAAGCTCATTGGTCTCACGCCTGAACAGACAGGCCGGACACGTCACACAACAGAAGAAGCAGCAAGGAGTAAGTACACAACAGTCTCACGAACATAGCCGGTGCTCGCACTCGAAAACTGCAGAGTCGAGCGGAAGTATAGGACACGGTATGTGTGTACATGCAGTCGCGAGTCTCGTGTACGAGCACACATATGCTGCATCAGTGGCAGGCTATATAGCACTGCCACACACACGACGCTAGCCCTCTTGGCCTGCCTGCATCGGGTCGCTTTGTCGCATTCGTCGCCTTGCTCATCGCAATCGCATGCGTGCGTGCGTTGCAGGCTCTCAATTCGATCGATCCTCTCTGCCGCTCTGCGTATGGCAATCGATCGTGCATGGCCATCCGTCACCTCACCTCCGCGTCGCGGCTTGCGCTCGGGCCACGCGTCAGTCGTGATCGAGTATCCTGATTAGTCACAATTATGAATAACACAGTCGCAGTAGAGTCAGAGTCTTGGGTCACGATGAGTGTGCTAGGTGTTGCCAAAAGCGCGCGGCGAGCGGGCCAAGGGGACTGACAGGAAACTTCGAGAGTAGACCTTTCCCTCAGCATTCAAAATGTCACGTGTGGTGTGAGTTTTTCTCAGCGTCCATGCCACAAAAGGTTTGAGTCGAGAAGTCGAATCGAGTGCGCTCGCATGATTTCAATCCTGATGAGGGCATGCACTCAGCTCCAGATTATGTATTCTATTTGATTGACTCGTGACTCGCGCACCTCGCTACGACCAAGTCGCAAACACTCGTGGCTCCGCACCTTCGAGCTTGCATCGTGTCTCCAACTGCAAGGTCAGAGAGCAAAAGAGAGAGAGAGGGCACTGCAGCGATACCGGGGTAGGACTTTCCAGCTATCAAAGCCTTTGCCGTAATGTCTGTCGAGGAGCAGGAACAGGCATTCGAGCCATCCAAACTCGGCACAAAGGCGCACTGGGATGAGTGCTACGAGAGGGAACTGGCCAATTGGCGCGAGTGCGAGGAAGAAGGCGAGATATGGTGAGCATACACGCACGACGCGAGTTCGTTGCGTGTGGGTGTACCTCGCTCTCCCCGTGCAACCGCATGGCTGAGAGCTGTGATCATTGTGATTGCCATCCCTCAACGACTCAGGTTCGGCCAGCAAGCTGCACGACGAATGGTGTTGCAGCTCAAACAGCTCCATCTGGGTAGCCCGACGATCCTAGACTTGGGCACGGGAAACGGGATGCTCCTCCACGACGTTCTCGAAGAAGAATTGACGGAGCCGGAAAAGTTGATGGGTGTGGACTATTCGGCGGGATCTGTGGAGCTAGCTAGATCTATCGCGCAAGAACGAAGGAGAGGGCTGGAACGCGTGCGATGGCAAGTGCTTGATCTCGTTAGTGACGAACAGTCTGTGGGAGCGTGCGGGCAGTGGGATGTCTTGTTGGACAAGGGTACAGTGAGTAGGAGCATACTTTGGTCAAGAAGCACTCAGCTGCAGGATAGCAGCATCTCACTGCTCCTGAGGATTGCCTAACGGGCTTGCATCGTGCATGCACTCAGCTCGACGCCATAGCCTTATCCACCCACTCCGAAGCAGCGATCACCGCCTACGTTCGATCCACGAGAAAATTACGCAGTCCTGCTGGAGTGTTGATCCTCACATCATGCAATTTCACACTGCAAGAACTCGAGCGCCTCTTCACGCAAGACCAAAGCATCGGAGATGAAGACGAAGTGGTGGAGAGCAATGTGGCCGCACCACCCACTTTCAGCTTTGGCGGTCGAACAGGAAGCACCACGACAGTCATCATGGTGCGAAGCAAGTCGCCGGGCAGATGAACCAACGCAAAAGCTGGCTGCATATGCTGAGGGACGCCGGCGAACACAAGAGGAGCATCTACGAACACTAGCAAATCGTGTCGACCCGGATGATCTAGAGGTCAAGATGCACCCCTCCTCCCCTCCCCATTTCTGATCGTCAATCAGTCGTCTCACGTCGAGATGCTTAAACTTCGAGTCCGGTTGAAATTTTGCTACCTGGACAGCGCGTGCGGCCGAGTGCACTGCAAGGGCAAAGTCTGCATCAATCGCATCAGCGCACAAGTACGGTCAGCTTGCTATCGACTTCAGTCGTTGCTCCGCGCAAGTCGCAAGGCAGCACAAACCGGAATGCGAGCATCACTTGATGCTAGCCATTGGCGAGTGCTGTCGGAGCAAGACGCAAGAGACACTAGCGGCGGCGTAGACTTCTGCAAGGGGAGGCAACGTCTAAACACAAGATTCGCCGTCCCCAGCCATCGGCGCGGCGTTTGCAGCACAGAGCTTCATGCCCGGCGAACAAGTGACATGCCCAGATCTGTCTACATTCGGTTCCTGGTCGTCTCCCGCGAATGTGTATCAACGCGATGCCCTCGCGACAACGCAATCCTCAATCAGAATGCATTGCGATCGCAGGACAATCACATTTTCGCCTGGGAAGAGTTATCAATCTTTGTGTGCGTTCCGCTCGTAGTCCTCCTCAACCTCTTACCATCCTCTGCATCCTTCAACCAGATGTCGCACTGTATAGCAGCCACGCTCTTGCCGACGGTCAAGGAGTTGACTTCGATGTCTACCCATGCGCCGACGGGTGTGGGCGCAAAGTAGAGCATCTGGATGGACTGCGAGACGCCTAGGTAGGACCAGGGATCGCCAGAGATGCCGGATGTGTGCAGATAGAGCTGTGGAGGGAAGGGGGGCGCGAGGTGAGATGACGTGGGGCACAGATGCGCGTCAGACCGGATGCAACACGCTGCGAGATGATCAGCAGGGTGGTGCGACTTGCTGCGACGAACAACACGCCGCTCCGAATACACTGCGCTCTTCCATCATGCGTGACTTGTGTGGCGCAGAGAGGTACAAGGCCCGGCTTTCTGCCCCTCCTTGGGGTAGCCTGCAGGCTGTACTCGTCAGCTGGGGCCCCCTCCCTTCCCATCGCCCAATGTCCCACTTTGCGCGATGCTGCAATGAGCACGAAACGAGAATGGACCCAACCAAGCAAAGGGGGAGGGGGGGGGGGG